AGAACTGTCTGACGTTGAATACTCTTCGTTAACCAGCCGAGAGGTCCAGTGGAGTCTGTAAAATTATTTCAGAACCCCTAAATTCCAGTGTGTTTTTTTTTCTCTGTAAAGTTATTTCTTTTATGATTCTTTAAACTCATAAGATCCTTATACCGAGATTAGGTCACTGAGGTAGTTATGAATAGTGTGTTTGACTCCTACTTTTGTATATTTTATCATACTCAACATTTTGGGGGGGCAGATAAAAGAAACCTTGGGATAGGAGGAGATGCGCACACATCGTTTGCCTTATAAACTCGTAAATACCCTACGGCCATATAAAACTTGTGCCAGGACCCAAACAGCTTGAGAAAATGAGTTAAATTAGCTTAAGTGGTCATTAAGAGTTCTTGTTAGCCTCGCTTGCCCAATTTTAGGGGGAGCTTTTATTTCTTTACGTTACTGGACTCATTGATGTTTTTGGGCTCTTTCTCAACAAGAGGAGCTCTGTGCACCTGTTAGTATAAAGAGGAAAGGGTACCTGTGCCCGGCTCTGCTTCCTGCCTCATTTCAGACTTTGCTGCTCTCACTGCATGGGTTTCTGCTGAGGTGCCTGGGAAACTCAGTGGCATGGGGCTTGGAAGAGATGTTTTGGAATACATATTCCAAATAAGATTTCTCCTCAGGATCTCTGGGAGGAGCTGTCGGAGAAGGCAGGAGCTGTGTTGTCTGTTCAGAAGGCGGCCCGCGCGGGCAGCATCCACACACCCTTGTGGTGAGATGGACAGGACGTGTAAGGTGCTCAGAAGCCATAGTGGTGGCACCTTCCGGAGACACTCCCCTGGTCTGTTGGTCTGGTGAAAACGTGGCAGGCTGGACCACCCAGAGCAGACGAGGGGTCACTGCCCCAGGGTCTGTTGGGAGACAGCCTTGCATTTGTGAGCAAAACTTGTCTATCAGTACGTTCGCTGAGAACCAGAAACCTACAACTTCTTCGTATTTCGTAAATGTTGTAACACGGGTTCGTCGTGCGTGTGAGGTTGTCGGTTTGTAACAACATGGCTTCCTTTATACGTGCCCTGGCTGGTTTTAAAGCAAATCTGCCCATCCGGGTGCCTCTCGGTGCAAGTCTGGAGTCCCCCGGCCCCTCCCCGCCCCACAGGGAGACCCTCAGAATCCTGATCTCCATTACTTGTGACTAGAGGTAAGAGGGATGGAAAGACCACATCCCACGGGAGCTGTGGCCCTGCCTCCCTTTCGAAGCCATCAGAGTAGGATCCTGGAAGACGCCCTCCCTCACATCCTTTATAACTGGCTCACTGTTTATTCTCCCTATCACAAGTCAGATGGAAATTCCTGTTTTTGCCACAGACGATCGCTCTCTGGTGTGCGCTCTCTGCTTTGCTGTGGCATTCGGGTTGGCTTTCCTGCAGTGCAGGTGGCGGGCATGGCACCGGGCACCTCCCTTGTCTGGTTGGCCTTGGCTTGTGCACAGAGTGCTGGAAACATCCAGGCACCTAGAGGAGCGGCTCACCCTCTGGAGGGTGCGCTGGCCGTGGACAGGACAGTGAGGCCCGGCGTGACACCCGCTGTCAGTCGCCAGAGAGAGGCAGACCCAGCCTCCTAGGGAAGGCACTGTGGCAGGCTGACCTCTGGTGAAGTGGGCGGGGGCGGGCGGGG